TGGGAAAACAACACGCCCAAGATAAAAATATATACAAGAATTTCCTACCAAATTCAAGTGGAAGCTTCTTAAGGTTTTTCCTGAATGCACCAAGCTTCTCTTTACACGTCTTAGCACTCTGTCTTCACAAAGAAAATAATAAATGAAAGAATTAGAACAACATTATTAAAAAAGAAAAAGGAGAACGAGTTCACTATTTTTTACCAAGCAGAGAATAATGTCTCCATTGATCGTTAGCGATGGAGACGGGGGATCGGAGTGGGCGGGGGTGATTGAAGTAGCTTGGTGACAAGCCGTTCTCGCTAGATTTTAACATTTCTCGGCTGAATTGAAAAGTATTTCTAACATTTACCACTTCAGCAAACGCAGCTGAACCTCTACCTTCGTCAAACTCCTGGAAACTGATCTTTGACTGCACGGTCAGGTCTCTTTCCTTTAAAGCCTGAATAAATCCGTAACAATCTTTTTTTATTTACCTGTAGCCATGAAGAACTAATATCTAAGGAGAGAAAATATTTTCGATTGTCAGGCAAGCTATTGAATTGCGTTGCAGAACACATAATAACTCCACGATGACAAGGTTGTTGCTTACCCTCAAGCTTTCCGCCATCTTTGATTTCCGCTGTCCATATCGGATGGTTACCACTGGCTCAGTTATGACTTAGCAAAAATGGCGGACGAACTTAACAAAACTGCGAACCTACCGGCAAACATAAAATTGTTCGTGTTTGATCTGGCAGGTACAACTGTAGATGACTCGATTGAGGGTGTACCACTTGTGGCTATCGCCATGAAAGAAGCATTTCACAAAAATGGCCACAGCATCGACGTGAGTTTAGTCAATAAATACCGTGGAATGGAGAAGAGAGACGCAATTCAGAGTATCTTAAACGAGGTACACGAGTCAAACGAGTCAACCAACACGACAGCTAACGTCAGTGTCGACCTCTTATTCAAGGATTTCAAATTTTTTCTGAATCAGAATTTGTCATCGATTAAAAACGAAATCCCAGGAACAACTGAAGTTTTTCAGAAGTTGAAATCCACAGGAGCAAAGATTGCTGTTGGCAGCGGCTTCCCGCACAGTGTCGTTGAAACCATCACAGATACCTTGAACTGGTCCAGCCTGGTCGATTTTGTCTGTAGCGCAGAGAAAGCGGGTCATGGAAGGCCTCATCCAGCAATGATCCACTCGGCTATAAAATTTTTTGGGATAATGGATCCACGATCAGTAGTCAAAGTTGGGGACACTAAGGTCGACGTTGAAGAAGGAAAGAACGCTGGTTGTTGGACGATCGCGGTGTTAACTGGGACACAGAGCAGAGAGTTTATTGCAGAGAGTAAACCGGATTTTATCATCAACAGCATTGCTGATTTACCTGATCTATTGTCAGGGACATTCCATATATGATCTCGAACAACTTTGTTGAACAATTCGAATCACCGTGTATTTGAAATTCGGAATAAAAACGAAACGACACCTTTCGTATTATGCCGTAGTTTGTTACAGTGATCACCCGAGTGAGCCAAAGTTTCGCCTAGTTAGGAATGCTGTTTCTCACGCAGAGCTTTTTTAAGCGGATTTCTATCGTTTTACAACGACAACACATGACATACAAACGTAACAGAAGGGGACGTTAAGCCCTGAATCACTCATAATTCTGTAGAGATACCACCCTTGATTAACCCTCGTGCGATTTTGAGTAAGCATCCAATTAGTCAAACATTAATCGCTGAGGGTTTGCCTAACCCTAACTCTTAGACTAAAACATTGGTGGCCATTGATATTTGAAGGAAGGCGGCCAGCAACATCCAGCCTTTCAAGACAGAGAATTCTAGCAACGTTTTCAAGTACGTGTGTAGGCTAAATAAAAAAAAAAAAATTGCACGTTCACGGCTTGCGCAAAAAAAGTAGTGTACGGACTTCCTTTAATACTTCAATATATTGGCTTCTAGACATAAAATAGCGTTACACCGTTGGGAGATTAATTAGTTGAGCTCGGCTAAGCTAAACAGTAGGCACCAGGGATCTGAGCTATGATATAGTTCCTCTATATTATAGCTACGTACTTAATTCTTGAGTTCGTTTTTTTAGGTGCCACTGCTGGAGAAAATGCCACTGCTACTTCAAACCACTAAATGAACAAATAGTGAAAGGGTTGAGGGTTTACATATCCCATTGACCTTTGTTACTCGGCATACTTGCAATACTTAATTCGATAAAGCTAATACAAACAAACCTACATGAATCGCTAATGATGAACACGTGAAGAAAGAAGGTCCAATATAACAAGCTGGGAGAACTGAGACAAAAAGAACACGAAACTTCGATTGGATCTTTCATGGCGCACACACTCTACCCCTGCAAGAATATTTAGCTAGGGATACCAACTGCTTGAAGGTTAGTCCCCACAGTAGAGCCTACTCTAAGATAATTCAAATACAAACGCTTCATCCAATCACCAAAACATCTCAGTGAAAATTAGAAACCCTTTATGTGAGCTGACCCCGAGAAAACCCTTGGGCAATCATGAGATTTAAACCATAGAAATAAATGAATCATCAAGAAACTATCATGTACAAATCCTAAGACAGAAAAATATCTCACAAAAATAGGATCTACGAAAATGATTGAAAAATACCTACTTAGGTTTGCCAAAAAAATTACTTAAATATTTCCATAAATTTAGGCAAACGGAGAGGAAAGTCCAGATCTTGCTGTTTAAATCGATCAGCTGTTTTGGTTAACAGGGTCTTAGATCTTTCCATCGATAGCCCAATGGAGGTAGGAAAACTGATGAGACCACTCTTCAGTAGAGCTAAGAGCACTGTATTTCATTCGTCCACATTTTCTCATTAGTTATTGTAAACGTGAGGATCTTGTAATGATCTAGGTTACTAGATTTTGGGTCTCCAAGCTACTTTCCAATGATCAGTGAAAGACTGAAACTTGTTAGTTCTACCCTGCTTGGAAAAAAAAAAAAAAGAGACAATGATAGACCATGATGGAACAACAATGACTGGGGATGAAGAGGACTGAGACGGATTACGGAAAAAAAAATTAAAGAAATTTCAAGGATCCCTGATCGTGACATATTTAGCTGCTTTTAAGTGCTGCTAAAGGATCTTTACATAACGTCAGACATACCATTCACTTACAACTTCCTGTTCTCATTCTCGACGAATTTTAAGGTAATTTTTCCTCTGGTAGATACTTATGATGTATTGACGAATCTTTCAACAACGGTAAGCTGTGGAACTGGCATTTTTTCTGAGACTACTCAAAGCTGACATTTCCTCAAAATCTATGGCTGAACTTACTCTTCCTGTCGCCTGTTGTGATTCCTTGGCGCGCGCAGCTAGCGCGAGAATAGTTAAAATAACCGCGCTTCTCGCGGGAGACCACGAGTTGTCGAACTCGGGATGTACCGAAATTGGTTAATCCTTGGGTATCCCCAAAATTTGCCAACGCAGAAACAAAAGAAAACAACAGCAAATTAAGGTTAAACAAAAAGAAAAAAATGTTAAATAGAAAGGAAAGAAAATACTTAATTAAAAAAGGTCACCATCATAATGGGATAAATTAAAAAAAAAATTAAGAACCTTACCAACCAAGGTAAAATTCCGTGATTCGATAAACAGATCAGATAACGAAGGTACGTCACTTAAAGATTAAATTAGATGAAACCACGTAAAGGAAACACTTGGAAAAAAGTACCTGAACTGCATTCGGGGATATTGTAGCCGAAAGGGGGAACTGGACTGGCACCTCAGTTCTACAGTAACAAAATGGCGTGCAGAAAGCTAAATCGGTATAAGTATCTTTTCCATAAAAGAATTGTGAAAAGAAATTATAGATTCTTGTCGATTAATTCAAAGCAGTTCGTAACGATCCCGGCGAAGTTTTGTTGATCGGTGATTAGAATTTATGGCTTCTATTGATGTCAGTGATATTTATATCATTTGATATTAGTTCCTGATAATCTATCTGGACCTCCTGCGGCAAAGTGCATCATGAACACAACGTACCGTTTTCAAACCATGTAATAAGAAATTTATGGATTTTTTGCGAAGAAAAATGTTTCCTCAAGCCCCAGGTCATTATTAAAACAAAAGAGGTAAAACGTTTTCATAAAATTTTGACATTCAACTTCTTACCTTTCCCACTATTTTTAATCACCTCTTTCCTGCAGTGCCATCTCGAGGTAAATACAATTTACAATTATAATTGCTTCGAATTCAGAATTCATTCTTTAGGTTTGACAACTAGACCTGAAAATGTCTTTTGTTGACTGTTGCGTAGGTGGTAACGGCGCATTAAATGTAATGCGATGCAACTATTTTGAGAAATTGTAAATTATTACCAAATCATGTCACGGTTGAATTGCGAAGTCACACGAACTGATATTAGTTTCTGAAAACCACTGAGAAACATTAGTTATCACGAATATTAGCTACAAAGAACACATGGATTAAGTTTTCTAGTGAAGACGGCCGAAAGGATAGACCATCAGCGCTTTACCTTGAGTCTTTTTCATCCGTGACATCAACTGCATACATTATCTTAGTCGCTATTCAGGGAACACTGCAAATGACCTTTCTCCGATTGTCGTTCTAAACCACCGCGGAAGCCTTAGGTGTTGCGCCATCTTGTCCTCAACTTGTAATAACGGTAAATTCTTTTCGATCTTCCACCAATCTCCGATCAATTTGGAACAACCAGTTAATTGCTGGCAGCTGGTAAGTGACTCTCTGTTAGAGAACATGATCATTCTTCAGAAACGATAGTTAATTGAGTCAAGCAAGAGGCACTTTTTTTCATTGTTTACTCGTTTGAAGTTGTATGATCGCTTCTTTAAAGAACTCTGTTCAAGCTTAGAATAGGACGATATTCGTTGTTTACAACTGTAATACATATTCTTCGACGTTTTCTGAGTTATAACGTAGAAATTACGGTTATTTGAAGGGAACAACATCGAACCGGCATTGGGAGGTTTTAGAACATTTCCTTATGAGGAAGTCGATCCGTCTGGTTTAAGATTTGTTAAAAATATGAAGGCTTGTAACAGTATTTGGATTGCTACATTAATAGAAATTTATTTTTGTGAGGTTTTGGTTGATTTGAGGCGTTGTCTTTACAAGCAAAATTTTACTTCAGCGAGCTGAGGCACAGACGGTGAAAGTATGCAAATTAAGTTAGTCATGTCAGTAGGTACCATTTGATCTAGGTCTGTAATTAATGATTAATTTACAAAGGGGGTAATTATGACCTTCCTTCTTTGAAGAAAAATATGAATAAATAAATAAATAAATAAATAAATAAGAGAAATGGCCTGAGCTTAATGAGGAAAAAATGCCAACAAATTATAGACAGGCATATCACTGAATAACTTTTGACAAAGCCACATCTCGATGTTTGTCCGTCGTGTCACCAGTTGGTCGTAAGTAACAAAGAGGTCATCAAATGACTCAGTGTCGCTGCTCTATTCTGAGTTGCCAGTCTCTTCGTATTCAAAACTGAAATCCTTTTTTATTACCAGCATTGGGTAAGTGACTCACAGCTTTCATTAGCATTTTCCATTATCATTATTTCACTTTTTACATTTTAATTACCAAGACAAAATGAAAGTGAAGTGGAACGTTTTTCCGTGTAGTTACAGAGCATTATTTGAATCAGTAACACCTTGATGTATACACACTTTTTCTGGTATGTAAAAGCGTCTAATTTTGATGCTGAGGCTGAACGTTCATATGTTTTCGCGATTTGAGCCTAAAAACGTTCTTAACATGTTCTTAAAGTTGTGTGGTAATAAATCAATTTGGGGATGACAAGACTAAGTTCGACTTCAAACTTACAAAGCTTGTACCTAAGCATGATACTAGCAGTATGCAACATGCTACAGAGACGTTTGCAATTTCCAGCTTACTCGCATGTTCTCCTTAGCTCAACTCTTAGAGCGAAACACCGCGACAGTGAATGGTTCTAAGGTTCGGAATCCTCTTTGGGAACTCAAACGTTTTATTCTTCCTATCCTAGTGATAAGTGTTGTAAACCTTTCCTTCCTCGCCGACCAAGCTGAAAATATACAAACCATGATCACCTGGATTTAATTATAGGGTTGTAATCGCCGGCAAGATAAAGACCTGGA